TTAAAAAAACATAATGACAGTTGCCAAATAAATGATAATCATTTTCATTGTAATTTTGTTGTTATTGTTCGCTACTCCTACTTGGACAATGATTTCGCCACTAACCAAAAAAATCTCTATAAATTGCTACTTTCTGACCCCAAAGATAATCCTAATCCTCGACCCAAAAATTATTCCCCATCAGAAAAAAAATAATAATATATGACGAGAAAAGGAAAACTGAATTTCAGTATTGGAAAAAATAAATTAGTTAGTTTGCTTCGAAATGGCTTACGGATACTTTTCTTAATTATCTTTCTTCATTGAGTACTTTGAATTACTTCTTACGCCAATTGCGTCAACTACCAGGAGGCAATAAATGACCAAGAAGAATTAAAAAAATATGATGCTAAAACCAAGAAATATCAACATTTCACTGGCTTGCTCAACAAACCTGAGGAGAAAAATATTGAGGAAATTGAGGAAGATGTTTTAGATCAAATTGAGAGAAAAAAAGGACTCAAAGAGGACAAGAAGCTTCCTCGCATCTGAAAACAGGAAAAATTACCTGATTTAGAGAAACTACAAGGAGAAATCGAAAATTTAGACAAAGAACTAAAAAAAAAAGACAATCCGACTAAAGAGGAAAAGGAAGCACTAAAAAAAAAGGAAACGGAGTATAAGGAAAAATTAGAGAAAGCTAAAGAAGACGCTATTAAAAATATTAAAGAACAATTAGAAAAGAATGACTTAAATATTACTGAATTAGATGATAATAGAAGTTTGGGACAGAAAATATTGTATGACCCGCTAAAATTTTTTATTGTCTCGCCACTCAATAAAGCCAGCAAGTCGCTAGGACTTCACAATCACCTCTTTTTAGAAATAATCTTTAAACTAATAATTGTGGAAATAGTCTTGATTTTGATTTATTATTCGGAAACGATAATAGCTTGGGAAAATATGGAAAAAGCCCGCGACCCGTATTTAAGCGTCGAAGAAAGAGAACAATTGACTGCCGAGGCTTTCCCTTTGGTTAAATTCATTTTTTTTAATGGATTTATGATGGTTTTGTTTACCTTTTTTCTCTTTTACCATCCGGCCTTTTTTGATCGCACCAGTTCTTTATTCCAAGCCGGAGGAACTTGAACTAACTGATATATTTGGGTTATTCCTTTATTTTTCTCCACTCTTCTCTCTAATATTAGCTCTGAGTTCTTGCGACAAGGCCGCCTCCTAAATAAACAAGAATTAAAAACTTACGCAGCGAAAAATTGAGTGTTTAGTCTCTTGATTGCCTTAATTATACTGGTTATGGCATGATGAGTTGGGATGAATAGTATAGGTAGTTATTTGCTGTCTTTTCTGAGCGGATTAGTCAAATTTTTGATAAATACTATTCGAGTAAAAATTTTTCGTCATCGTGAACGTTGACCGAGCGGGGTCACAAGAACTACTCATCAGAGGAGTTAGTATAATTAAGATAAAGTTGACTAATATATTCTCAATTTAGTAGGTGGTTAACCAGTTTTTTAACATATTCTTCGCGATTAGCACCGTAATCTAAATAATAAGCATGTTCTCAAACGTCAATCGCAATAAGCGGACGTAACTGTAAAGACCAAGGACCATCTTGATTAGCCGTATTAATAATTTCTAATTTCTTTTCTTTATTCAATACTAGCCAAGTTCAGCCACTACCCCGAACTTTACAAGCACTTTTCACCAATTCCTTTTTTAACCTTTCCAAGTTAGTAAATTTTTCTTGGATAAGATTTAGCAAGGCCAGACTGATTTTCTCCTCAAATTCATATTCTTTTTGGCTAATTTTGAATGGGGTAAGATGGAGAAAAAAAAAATTATGATTAATCAATCCCCCACCAAAAAACCTCACTTCTTCTTTTAATTCAGCCGGCAATTTACCTAAATTTTCCATTAATTCCTCTAGCGAGGGAAAAGTTTCATCCATTTTTGTTCAGGTTGAGGATTTTCAGTTTTTTGCGCCACTAATTTTATTATTCCGGCGAATTTAGGTTCCAAAAATAAAACTACTGATTTGTCTCCTGGGTGTACCGCTACTTCTGGTTTAGTCTTGTCAATTAAATTCGCAAAACCATCGACATTTAATCAAACTTTGTCTTTATCAAAACTTAATTCAAAAGATTGGTTTTTATCATCTAAAAGAGCATCATAAAGTTCTTGTTCGGCGTTATCTTGAAAAATAAAAACTAGTTTTTCAAAGGGGGCGTCAACTATGGGACCACCAGCAATTTTTTCTAAAGAGCCAGTCAGCGAAGTCATCAAAGTATCCGTTTCGATTTCCAGTTCTAGTCCTTTTGTTCCCGGTCTTAATTTACTAGCATCAATCTTTATGGTGTTTTTTTTTTTTTTTTGCTGAATTGAATGGTTGTTTCTGTCATTTTTATGAATTTTGTAATTACTTTATACTCTTCTATTATATCATTCTACTACTAAGGAAGTATCAATACCTTTATTTAATTCGTCAATGGCGGGATGACGCAAGTAGTTAATAGTTAATTTTTGCTTATCAAAAGAGATATAGGGAGGAGTTTTAATATTTTGCTCCAAATTACTTTTAATAAGTTTGTTTTCTTTCATTTTTTCTTTTTTTAAACTAATAACTTGCCCGGGTTCTATTTTGTAGGAAGGAATATTGACTATTTTTCCATCAACCAAAACATGTTTGTAACCAACTAATTGGCGAGCAAAGCGGAGAGTATTAGCCAACCCTGACCGAAAAACCACGTTATCAAGCCGTGACTCTGAACTTGTCAGGAGACTAGCGCCCGTATCAGCTGCTCCAGCCTTTGCTTTCGCAAATTCTCTCTTTAATTGCTTGTCACGTCAACCATAACCATACATAATTTTTTATTGTCTCGCCACTCAATAAAGCCAGCAAGTCGCTAGGACTTCACAATCACCTCTTTTTAGAAATAATC